AAATTTGACAAAAGTTAAGCCCAAGCCCGGCCCATGAACATGTCAATTCACCGTGTTTCTCTCCATCAATGCTTCACCAATGTTAGAGAGTCCAAGTTAGACAATGAAGATCGATTTTGACCAAAAAGTTGGTGTAGAAATAGGATTTAAGATCAAAGTTCAATGTGTTGAAAATGACCCTAAGCCTATCTAACCACTATATAGGAATATTGCACGTATGCATGTTTCCAAACAAATGAAATTACATCCAATTTGAACTTCTTTATTAAATTATATTGGCCTGATATTTTATCAATGTATATATGTGAATGAAGGTTTTAACTTTTAACATTCAAAACAAATGATGTTACATTATTATTTGTATTTAGGGAATTGATATATTGGTGACCTTGAAAACGTACCATGTGTTTGATATATTGGGATGGGCTTTCTCAAGCTACACCCTTATTAACAGGAATATATGCGGGTTAATTGACATTCACAACTTGGAGATGATGCCTTTCTACACCTCAAAGGATGTTAATTGCCAACCAACTACCAAGAGTCACTGATGCTTTTTGCTCAAATATCTCCTGGATGGTCCCTTTATTATTTTAAATTGAATATGCTATCCACACCATCAAGTATGTGAAAACCGAAACCGACCCGAACCAAACCGACTTATTAATTAGTAGTTACAACCTACTTAGTTCCTACTTAACTAAGTTGTCTCTATCCTAGTTACATCCTAACTTAATTTCTAGTCTTCTAGTTAGGAATGACATTAATGGAAAGTATTGTAAGACAACTAGACAAGGAATTTTTTTGGAAAAGTTTAAAGAAAATAATCAAATGATCCTAGTTTTTATGGTCTTTTACACCAAATAGGCAACCAATTACAATTAGAATTAGGTGTCATTTTTTACTTAAATTAGAATGTTTCTTGAAACATACAAATTTCAGTCTTCTTTCTCTAATACAGTTTGACTTTCTATTTTCTTAATAATTTCTATTCTAACTTGGTCCGCCCCTACCAATTTCAGTCTTCTTTCTCTAATAGAATTAGGTGTCCTTTTTTACATCAAATTTCAGTCTTCTTTCTCCAATCTACCAATTTATTACCATGGTTGAACTTAGAGCGGAAACCGACCCAACCCAACTCAAACCGACCAGGTCGGTTTTGCTTAACATAGGGTTGGTTTTGGTTTCAATTTCAGGTAACCCGACCAGGTTGGGTCGGTTGGAAAAATCTCAGTAAACCGACCCAACCCGACCCGTGAACAACCCTATCTTTTGGAACATTGACCTGACCGATTTGATGTGATTTTATGTAAACACATATAATATGATTATTAAGCAATCGTTGTTGGTCTGATCAGTTGAACTGTTCAAACCATCACCTAACCATGATTCAATGTTCGATTTTAGTAAAATCCAACATTTGGTCAAAACTGTTTGAGGGCGTGGGTCATGGGTTGCACATAAACACACGCACACACACACACACAAATATATATAATGATTTTTTTTAGTGGAAATAGTAACTTTCATTAATTCTTTAAGAAACTTAGTACAACTATCACCTTCAAAAAACAAGGTGACCCCTCCACAAATTACAAACAAGCCCAAAAAAGGTTTTGCCCACTAACTCATTGCTTTGCTAAAGTATCAACCATTGCATTGGCTAATCTCCTACTCCATTTAAACCTGACTTCAAGCTCCTTTTTTAGTTGTATAATCTCCCTTACAGGTTGTCTAAGGGACCAGGCGCCTAAGCTGTTTGTTTGCATCCAACCTATTACCAATTTTGAGTCTCCCTCCACTTCCAACTGCTGAAAATCCAGCTGTTTAGCAAGCTTGAGCCCTTGTAGGAGTGACAAAACTTTTGCTCTAAGAGAGTCCCTCAGTCTTATCGAGCCAGGATAAAGGGCTAGGACATTTCCTCCCCCATCTCTAAAGACACCCCAATTCCAGAGGGGCCTGGATTACCTATAGAACTACCATCAAAGTTTAACTTAACATCCAAAGATAACAGGGGTGATCCCTTCTATGACTTCATGTGTTGATTTTTCTTTCCCTTGAAAGATTCTATTATTTCTCTCTTCCCACACTGCTCAAACAACTGTTGCCCTCGTTGATCTCTACATTATCCTTCATCTTTTCTTTGACTGACGAAAAAAGCTAGATTTAAAAAGATCCACCATGCTTGTAGGAGGAACTCACCTACACCCAAAGAGAGAGGAAAACCAATCCCAAATAAGAGTAACAAAAGGACAAGATATTAGTAGATGATTTACCGTCTCACCACTCTTCAAGCAAAGGCTACAAACATGAGGGGATAAGAACCAATTCAGCCTTTTTTTCTGAAGCAAGTCCAAAGTGTTGATTTTTTGGAGAACCACTTCCCAACAAAAAGCCCTACCTTTGGATGTATAGGAGCACTCCATACTTCTTTTATAGGAAAAGAGTAAACTAAATTGGAAGAGTGCACTAAAGCATTGAAGAAGAAGAGCATGAAAAACAACCGAATGACTATTCAGACAAAAATTCTATTATYAGGACAATAATGATCCAAAAACACTGAATTTAAAAGGGAGAAAATATCATCTACCAACCCTATTTCTAACTCCCTCAACCCTCTCCTGAACCCTAAATCCCACGCCTCATTAGAAATACGAAAGGTAGAGATGATTTTAAATTTGTTCAAGGACAAGAAGTAGAGGTTAAGGCTGGTCCCCAACCCAAATGTCCTCCCCAAAAAATACCTTATTACCCGAATAAGCGTCATACCTGATGAAAGGGAAAAAGGTAAGCAAGATACCAACAATGTCTTTCCACGAAGAGGAATGAGAAACCCTTGGGTTGATACTAGCATCCCATCCATTTGTTGCCAATCCATGCATGCTTTCTATCACTCTATGCCACAAACTTTCTTGCTCCTTGGGAAACCTCCACAACCACTTACCTAAGAGTGCTATGTTTCTTAGATGGATATTTCCAATCCCTAAACCCTCTTTGTCTTTTGTCCTAAAGACCATTTCCCACTTCACTAGGTGATTCTTTTTTGACTCCCCATGTTCCTATAAGAAATCTCTCATTACCCTTTTCAATTGATTTGCCACATTGACAGGCACTTCTGAAGTAGACAGGAAGTACACTAGCAAATTTGCTAAAGTTGACTTAATTAAAGTGATTCTACCTCCTAAAGAGATGCAATTCCTCTTCCACCCTCCTAGTCTCTTTGTGAATCTTTATAAGATTGGGTACCAAAAACTTTCTGACTTTGGGTTTCCCCTAGGGGTAAACCCAAGTATTTTATAGGCCAATCACTCCACTCACAGCCTAACAACCTAGCCAAAGAAGACACCTCCTCATCTGATCTATTAACTCCATCCACACAACTTTTATTCCAATTCACTCTCAAATTAGAGAAATTTTCAAAACCTTCTACCAAGAAATTCAGATTGATCATCTCCTCAGACTCTCCCTCACAAAAGAGAATTATATCATCTGCAAATTATAAATGAGTATCCACTACTTCTTGCCTCCCTACTATCCACCCATGAAAAATATTTATGGAGTCATCTCTGGAGATCATAACACTCAAAACATCCATTATTAAGGTAAAAAGGAAGGGGGAAAGAGGGTCCCCCTGTCTTAGACCTCTCTTTGTAGGGAAGAAATCCCTAACTACCCCATTCACCAAAATAGAGTAGTGGCATGAAGTCACACAACATTTTGCCCATCTATACCACATTTTTCCAAAACCTATGTTTCTTAAAACTTTTAATAAAAAATCTCAATCAACCAAGTCATAAGCCTTTTCCAAATCAAGTTTGCAGATCAACCCCTTCTCTCATTTTCTCTTTCTATAATCAACACAATCGTAGTAATAAGTATTTGATCCGTGATTTGTCTTATAGACACAAAGGCTCCCTAATTTAGAGAGATCATATAAGGAAATACCTTTTTAATTCTTGAGACTAACACCTTAGAGATGACCTTATACATGCTTTCAATCAAACTAGAGGCAAAAACGGTTCAGCCTCCGGGTCAATTTAGTTTTAAAACATTGGTCATTCTTGTTTTTTATTTTATAAAATGGCATAATTATAAATAATTGAATGTTTAAAAAAAAATATAAAACAATTTTTAATTATCATTATTAGTTTTTTTCTTATATAATGACATCATTGTAAATATATTAATAATTAATAACAATTATAAAAGAGGGTTTTGTCTTATATAGTGGCATCTTGTAAATATATTAATAATTAATAATAATTATAAAAGATGGTTAACTCCTCATTATTATTTTTTGTCTTATACGATGGTAATATTGTAAATATTTAAATATTTAATAGCATTTATAAAAGAGGGCTTAAGCCATTTTCATGCTTTATATCCCTGGTATGTGGAATACCATTTATCATCAGGGGGAATGACCCACGTAGCCATCAAAGATTCTATTTACTGAGTATATAAATGTGGGCTAAACTGGACGACTGAGCAATCTCGTCGATCATTTGGTACTTCTCATTGCTATAGTTGGATTCACAAATGACGGTGACATAGGGGAATGGATCCGAAGACGAAGAGGAGAAAAATGAGGGGAAGAGATAGAGGAAGGACAATTTTATTATTTTGTAAATATTTAAGTGGTACGTAATGTCAATACATATAACTAATCATTAATTAGTGATAGCACATTTTAAAACCTTAATTACTGAATTAACACCTTTTAAAATTTAGAGACCTAAATTAGGCACTAAATATAAATATAAAGTACTAATCTATAATTTTACCTATAAAAGGCCGCATCATAGAGTTTCCCATTAAATAAATATATAAGATAAAGAAGCCACAAGGGCATAATCGTAAATTTCTATGTCATTGCCTAATAGGACGAGGCTGCAAATGTAGGGAAGGTTTAAGTAATTGTCGGATAATAGATGGGGGTTTAAGTAATTGTCGGATGATAGATGGGAGGTTTAAGGAATTTATCCAAAAAATAATGAAATCCCAATTCCCAGATCCATTCGATGACAGACTCAATGAGATGGATAATAGAAAGAAGGGTTTGAACAAAGCAAACGTGCCGCCATTCCCAATTACCTTCTTCTCATCGTTCAATCACTGAGATTAATTAGAGGAAGTTTTTTTTTTTTCGCAGTCACCGCCAAGGCTACAAGGCGCCACCACCGCAGTTTGCGATTTGAGAAGAATTTGAAGAGGTTTGGCGTTTTTTTTTTTTTTTTTCATTTTGTAAGTCTGATAATCTGGTTTATATCTAAACCACTGTGATATTTGTTGTCACTTGACTAATCAGAAAGACTAAAAGAGAGCAACATTCACTGTTTACGCCGTGCGGCACCGGTTCTTCACGCTGCTGTTGAGACTTGAGAACTTAGAAAGCCGACCATCATCTATTAAACACCGAGCGGCAAGACATCCAAGGTTCCAGCTCTAATTTTTATTGTGTCACCTGAAATCTTGGTAAGCAGTTATGGAGAAAAATGCTTGAGATTGCTTTTGTTGAGGAGGTATAAGAAAGACTAAAATGCTTTCTGGATTGAAGTTCATTCCTCGGGATCAGCTTAATACGGTATTTGCTTTTCTTTATTTACTTTTTTTCCACTTAAATGCTATTTTTTATTGTTGTTTCTCTTTGCTTTATAATTGCCATGCTTAAAAATATGTAATTGTAGTAGCAACTATTAATTCTTTTATTTCTTTAAATATTTTTATGTGGTGTACAGAAAAATGAGGTCTTGGATTCTGATAGAAAAGAGAAGAAGAAATCTGGTGGTAGAAAAGAAAAACGCAAGATAGGGAAGAAGAAATACGATACATCTACATCTGATGATGAAGAGGTCGAGAAAATAAGTAAGGGTTCTAGGAAGAATAAGAAGTGGTATTCTTCAGATGAGTATTCGTCACCTTATGAAAGTGAAAGTAACAGTGATTTTGTCAGTGATGAGAAGAAGCATAGGAGAAGGAGAAAAGAGAAGAAAACTTGTCATGAGATTTCTGAAGATGAAGAACATATCTCAAATAAGAGGTCAAAAAGAAGTAGAAAACATCGTTCTTCAGAAGAATATTCTGATTCAGATTCTAAAAGTGAAGACGATGATACTTTTTCTGGTAGAAAAAGCAAGAGCCACAAGGGAAGGGTGAAGCATGAAAGTCATACGACCAAAAGGAGACAGGGAGAAAAGGACATGGAGAGAGAGGACTCATCAGGTAATACATCGTTCAGTTTATTGTTTGGATGGTGGTTCAATGAATCCTGAAAGCTTAACAATTGAAACTAATATTAGTCTTCCAATGCATATTTTCTTTTTAGACAGCGATAGAGGATCTCCTTCGTTAGATAACAAAGAGATTGCAAGGAAAGATGCTGGATTAGAATGGATGCTTAAACCTGTAATGAAAATAGATAGACAATCTAGACAAACAGAGTCTAAGATAGAGGAACCTCAAGTTGAAGAGGTAAACTATCAAGCTTGTGTGAAATCTTTTTATTTTCCTAACTAGCTTTTGATCCATTTATTTTAATATTTCTTATATTAGAGTGATTACAGTATGGGTGGCAACTTCTGCAATCATAACTTCACAAAGTAAATTCACTTTATATGGAATTGGAACTCACATTTATAAAAAAGGCATTTCTACTTATATTTTCCTTTTTACTGTTGGAAACATGGAATTGGTACTCACATTCATATTTGGTTTAAAAAGGATGAGTTGTTTTGAGTGCAAAACTGGAATGGTGTTAATTTTTCACGTGTTTGCTTTTATTCCTGTTTGCTTGCATAACATTTGCACCTCAGGAGGGTAAAACTATTTTGGAACCGCATCATTTGCTTTAACATTGCAGAAAAGTGATGCAAAATTTTACTCCCCTTCCTCCCTCATTCATTCTCTTCCATATAGAGTGCGGACAACATCATGTTACTCACCATTTTACTTCCTTCTCCCTCCAATAAACAAAGCAAAGTACAATGTGAACCAAAATTTGCACTCCCCCATTTGAACTCCTATGCATTTACATTTAACAATCAAAACAAATGCTGCCAGAGTAGATATATGATTTGCAGAATTGCATATAGTAAACCCACTAGAGAAATCGTTGATAATCTATTAAAAATAAATGTAGGGATGAGTGGACCAACTAACCAATCACCAATTACAAGTTCTTTCTCACCATAAAAAATGAGTTTGAGACCTTGAAGGAGAAGTACAGTTTTAATTCTAGTAAATACCTAGCTTGATAGGACTGGAATAACAAACCATAATCTTACCACCACTATCCTTCAAATCGCACCAATCTGTAGGACTTGGGTTGCTAATAGAATACATATGAAAATTTAGCTTGATGGATTTCACTGGAGAACTCCAAATTATTGAATCCTTAATTTGATTGGATCTCGATCTCATGGTATATCAGTGCCACCATATTGAATGATTAAAGTGCCTCTGAAACGGTAATGCATTGAAGGAGACTGATAGTGATCAGAACCTCAACACTCACAGTCCCTTAGATTTCTAGGATACCAAAATTCCAAGGAGGAATGGAAACACTGTTAGAGATGGGATTATCCCTGAGAATTGAGATGAGATGAAGCATAAAGTCTGGAGAATGGCCACTAATGAGATTATTCTTCCACAAGAGTAGTCTTATCAATGCGGTGAAGTGATGACTAGTTGTTTAGGCCTCTCTAGTCAATGCAATGACCAATGTTATCAATGTGGTGAAGCGATGACTAGTTGTCTAGGCCTCTCTAGTCGATGCAATGATTAGTCAGTGCCTAGGTGTTGTCTAGTTGATAAAAAGTTGTTTTCTAAATTTAAGATGTTTGATGCAAATATGCAATCTCATAAAAAAGTTAATATAAGCTACAATTATACAAGAAGATGTCAAACATTTAGTTTAGCCTTTGTTTTTCAAACAAAGAAAAAAGTTCCAAAGTCATAGTAACTTTGATTGTTCTGTGTCCCTTTTTTTTGATCACTGAATTGTAAGGTTTATTAATTCATAGCCAAAGAGAGTACATTTTAGAGAGAGGCACGAGATGCTACCTCCCCTTTAAGGAGGGGAGATGGAGGATACCATCAACCCTTTAATTAATAAACAGAACAAAGGACAACGAAAATTACAGAGAAGCCCAATACAAAGAGACCTGATTAGCCCCTTGTTTTGCAAGATAATCAGCCAAGGCATTAGCTGATCTACCCACCCACTGAAATCTAATTGTCATATCCCTCAAAAGCCATTTAACCTTTTTTAAAATATCCTTAAAGTCCCAAGTGACAGTACCCGGGTCAGCCAACCATCCTACTACCACCTTGGAATCTCCTTCAATTATTAAGTTCTGTACTCCAAGTTAATAAGCAATCTGTATCCCCTGTGTCGCAACTAGGAGTTCAGCCCTCACAGAGTCTCCTATTCCCATCGGTCCCGGAAAAAGGGCAAGGATGTGGCTGTTCTCATTTCTTAGTACACTACCAATACCAGACGGTCCTGGTTACCCTAACTACTCCCATCAAAGTTCAGCTTAACAAAACCCTCCATTGGTGGATTCCAAATTACTTGAATCCTAGGCTTCTTAGAAGAGGTGGGGGCAACTGCAGACTAATTCCTCCTTATATCATCGAAGGAGTAATTTTCAAAGAGTTTTAAGGATTTCAGCCACAAAATAGTCCTTGTCAAAAATACACTCCTTGACCTCAAGAACATAGTTGTCAAGGCGATGCCTAGGCGACAAGGCGCCCTTTGAGGCTCGCCTCGCCTAATCGCCTAACAGTTTTCTACTTCCTACTATAAAATACTTTTTTATTCATTATTTTTTGAGATTATAATTATAAAATAGACATTATTAAGCAAAAATAATCATTTTTATGTGTTTATATATACTAATTTCTTTTTGTTATTTTCTTATTTGTTAGGGTTTAATCAACACAAACATTGCTAAATGCTGTATTGAACCCTCAAAGACTTAAAAACCTGAACCAATAAGTAAGGAAGTACTAAAAATTTTATCTAATCAGCACATTTTCCTCTTCCATATATTCTTCTTCTTCTTCTACTACTACCACTACCAATACTTTTTATTTTCTTCTTTTCCTATAAAAAAAATAAGGGTTCCAGCCCCTGTATTTTTTGAATTTTATTTTCCTTCTTCCTTTTCTTCTCATGAATATGTTGATTTTCTATACTTTAATATGAAATTTATACTTTTCTTGTGAAAATCATGAATAATTATTAAAGAAATATAGTTATGGTACCTAGGGAACTACCCTAGGATCTATGTTTTTAACATAAAAAATCCATCGCCTAGGCGACTAGGCGCCCCCCCGTCGCCTAGCCTCACCTTGGCGCCTTGAAAACTATGCTCAAGAATGGTTCTTTCCTTCTCCTGAAAAATTATGRAATTTCTCTCTTCCCAAATAGTCCATAGGAGAGCTGCTCTCTTATACATTTCAACATAATTCTCCCTCTTCTCGTGGTCCACACAAAGGTAGATGGAGAAAACAGAAATTTACCTCAGCTGGCAAGTTCCACATGCACTCAAACAAATCAAATACCCAATTTCAAATGGCTGCTACAAAAGGACAGGAAATCAATAAGTGGTAACAGTCTTCATTCTGCGCTTTGCATAAAATATACCAGTTAGGGGATAAACACAAGAAAGGTCTTTTCTTCTACAGGCTATCCATCGTATTGATTTTACTGTAGTAAACTTCCCAACAAAAGACAACTATTTTTGGGGGAATAGGCTTAGATCAAACTTCTTTAACTGGGAATGCCCAAGGAGAGGAACTAGAGCAAAGGGATTTAAAGAAAGATGCACAAGTAAACGACCCTTTTGGAGTCAAAGTCCAAATTCTCCTATCAGAATTGAGTGGGTCCAAGCAAACAGAATCAAGTAACAATAAGAGCTCAGAAACCGATAAAGATTCCTCATCCCTCAATCCTCTACAGAAGCCAAGGTCCCAATTTGTAGACAATAAGAGTTGTCCGTCTGGATACCCCTGCATCCCAACCATTTCTGGAACAACCATGGATACTCGCCACCACCGCATGCCATAACCTCTCCCTCTCTAAGGGCCATCTCCACAACCACTTACCTAGAAGAGCTTCATTCTTATGAGCAAGATTCTCTAATCCTAGTCCTCCTTCTTCCTTACTTCGACTATCTCCCACCTAATCAAATGATCCTTCTTCTCTTGCCCTGTCTCCCACAAGAAATTCTTCATCATCTTCTCTATCTTCTTAGCTTCCCTAGTAGGAATCTTAAAGACAAACAGAAAGTAAACCAGCAAATTAGCCAGTATGGATCTGATCAAAGTCACTCTACCCCCCATAGAGATATAATTCTTTTTYCAACTTGCCAACTTTTTTCCAAAATTTTCCACAAAGGGGTTCCAAAATCGGCTCTCCTTTGGGTTAGCTCCTAGGGGAAGGCCTAGATAAGTTAAGGGCTAGGGCAAGGTGGAGCACTCTAAGCAATTTGCAATAGCTTCCAATTCCTGATCATCCATATTGACTCCAACCACACAACTTTTTTAAAAGTTGATTTTTAGTTTGAGGCATTTTCAAAAAAAATTATTAAGTTCTTAAGGTTCCTTACCTTCCTCAAATCACTTCCTTCACAAAAGATTATAGTATCATCTGCAAACTGAAGGTGAGTCACAGGAACACTATTTCTTCCTATTCTCCATCCACTCAAAATCTCCTCCCTATTTGCTTTTGAAATCAATCTACTTGATACATCAGCAACAAGAGTTAATAGAAAGAGGGAGAGTGGATCACCTTGTCTTAAGCCCCTACATACTGGRAAGAAGTCCTTAACTACTCCATGGACAAGGACGGAATAATGGCAAGTAGTGAGACAACCCTTAATCCAATTGCACCATCTTTCCCCAAACCTATTAATAAAAAAAAAAAAACTTTCCCCAAACCCACACTTACTTAACACCTCTAAGAGGAAGCTCCAATCAACCAAATTGTAGGCTTTTTTCAAGATCCAATTTGCAGACAAAGCCTTTTTTACCCGATCTCTTCATCTCCTCCACACATTCATTAGCTATCAAGATTTGATCTATTATTTGTTTGCCTTGTACAAAAGCACCTTGAGCTTGACTAATTAGAGAAGGGAGTACAACTTTGATCCTCAAGGGTAAGACCTTCGCCAAAATTTTGTAAATGCTAGTCACCAAGCTGATTGGTCTGAAGTCCTTAGGATGCTTAGCAACAACCTTCTTGGGAACAAGAGCTAAAAAAGTAGCATTAACTCCAGGGCTAACAACAAAATTATCCTCAAACTCCCTGAAGACCTCAAGTAAATCATTTTTAACTATGTCCCAACAATCTTGATAAAAGGCATTGTAAATCCATCCGGCCCAGGAGCCTTAGATCTATCCATTAAGAAAACTGATTGTCTGGTTTCTTCCTCCTTAAAGTTTCTTTCCAACCATCCCCCCTCTCT